TAATATACGCATGACAAATGCGGCCCTCTCCGCGTGCCAAGAGCTGACTCCTCTTGCTGCTGCTCATGCAACACAGACATTTTTAGGATCTGAATCCGCAGACAGCATTACAAGTTCCATTCATTCAGACCCAGACACTTTTGCATTTGATAGGTCCTGCGTCGCGTCCGGGACGTAGAGAACCTCCGGACAGTCCATCAGCAAAGTGTGTGCGCAAAATGACGCCTCTATTACAGTGAAAAGTACCCCCTACCCGTGAAATTACAAAAATAAAAATTTGTGATGCGAAGTTTCCAAATGAAAACTTTTTGTCATGCATGAAAGGAGTATGAATCTTTCTGATGCAGAGTCTAGGCTTGTATCGCATCGCTTGCATGACAAGCGCCGCTTTTGCTGGGGTCTTTCGCAATACAAATTTTTGCGGTTCACGATTGAAAACCTGCGATGCTGATAGATGCAAGAGGGCGATTGTTTCACTTGGAAAGGTTTGCAATACAAATGCTCCCAAGTTCGGGGGTGGGGGCATTTTTCATTGTAATAACCTCCCGCGCGGTGTCGGCGCATCCGAGTCCGATGGCTGATTTGAACCACTGCCGCTCCGATTCGACAATGCTGACCAGTACCATGGGAACGCGAAAAATTTCCTGACACACCTTGGTGATCTCTTCGATCTCTTGGTCAGGTAAGTCATCCAGCATCATGCTGCGGAGGTACTGCAGGCGCCCGGGTTCGGTGCTGGGGGTTTCCACGCCGTAAGTGAACTCTTGCTCGTCAACGTCCATTCCCGAGACCTGCGGATGCCCGTACTCATTCAATGCGGCGTCTGTGAAGGGAGAGACGGCGGTTTGGGAAGAGGAGGAGCCGGAGCCGGAGACCCCCCCCATGATCGTCCCAGAAGAAGTTATCAAATGCAAATTTGTCTGGGTCCGGAAGAATGCAAGATCTGTCATGCCGGCTTTCCATGACCCATAAGATCTGGAATGCAGCACCTGGGATGTTGATAGGCGCTGTGAGATCTCTTTCTCTATCAACATCATGCCTATCCTGCATGACAAACGCCCTCCCAACCTGGTCGAAAGTGGACAACTTTTGGCAATCATACAACACACATTTTGATTTTTGCATGATTCAGACTTTGACTTAGTATGACAAGCTGCAATATTCCAGACCCAGACATATTTGCAATGCATAGAAGTAGTAGCTCCATCTTCTTCCGCATCACCCTGCTTAGTGCTGCTCCGCTTCTTGCCCAGAAAGCTCGGAATTTTGGACACGGGCGGACTTGTTCCTCCGGAGCTGCCGCTCCCTGCGCTAGCCGCGAATAAAAGGACGAGTTGGTGCGCAAACAGAACAACTTTTAAGATGCTGGAGAGCGCAAGCAGTCTTGTTGGAGACGGGGCGCCACATGAACTAGCAGCCGAAGGGGTCTTACTAGTAGATCTGGGGTGATGTTGCAGGTCGTGCTGTCGTTTCACTGCGGCACAGGTATCATTTGCAAACATGTTTGGGTCTGGAAGATTGCAAAACTTGGCTGGTTGGTTGCATAGCGCCTGTCGCCGGAACAGGTCCCGCTCTGCATCAATCCACGATGCATGAGTCTGAGTCTCTCTCATGCACATTTTGCATGATGTCTGAGTCTGTGACGCATGCCCTAGCAACACAGGTTTCGTGAGGGTTTCCTGCTGGTCGTGGTGCCCCTACCGCATGACAAAAGCCCCTTCAGCGTTTGCCAAGAGCTGGACTCCTCTTGCTTCGCATGCATATACAAATTTTCGGAGTCCAAAAGGCAGCATCTCAAGCTGTGTAATGCGCCAAACCCTGACATAAACATATTTGCAATGAATACCGGGGACCTGTCGATATGCGGCGCAGGTACGTGTTGCGATTTTCACTGCACTTCATTCCTTTCGGAGGCGTTCTTCTTTGAATGTTCGCAGTGGAGCCAGCACTGCGGCGGCATTGAGGACGTCGTGAAGATGGTTCTGCGGGCCTCGCTTTTGCCATTGATGATGAAGAAAAAGAATTGCGTGTGCGCTTCTCAAGGTGGCAGGCCGGAAAAAAGTCTCCCACATCTTGCTGTTATGTAAGTCCTAGAAGATGATGAACAAAAAGAAATGTTGAATTCATAATCACAATCATGCTCCTGACGACTGGTTGCAGCTGAGGAAGTGTTTCCTGGTTCTGCCGGGCCTTTTCTCTCCAACGTCATGGGCAAGCTCGCGGTGGTCACCCTTCCTCGTGGCTGCGACTGCAAATGCTGTTGGCGATTATTGTTTGCACAATGAAATTAAAGAGATCAGATGACAACATCGATTAAGAGGCTTGTAATTTTTTCACGGAGCCAAGTTTCCTGTAAAAATACTCATACTTACACTATTTTTATTTTCAGCAGATCTCAAAAATGCAATCCAGTGCAGAGAACGGAAGAGAAGTACCTTCAGGAAAGTGCAGCAATACGCGGGCAACTTCTGGTTCCTCTTGGAAGCTAATACAGTGAGTCGAAAATCATGTTGCCGCCTAATCCGCTGCGCGTCATCGTCGATTTTGCCCACGTCCATGCTACTTACCCGCTTCCTATTTTACACTTACACAGCGAGTTTCTCAACAGGGTGGCAAACTTTCAACATCAGGATCATACATTCTGATTATCTTTTAGGAAATACAACTATACGAATAGATCTTTAAGAGTCAGACAAAGAGTTTACTTTTCATCAGAAGATCAAAATACGAGACAGCTACACCATCGTTTGAAAATGTCTTATAGGAGAGTTTAGTTAGATTTTGATTTTCGATAGGAGAATACTTTTTTCATGAAACAGGATATTAGATCTGAATTTGTTATTGCACAAGAAACAATACGTTTTTTTTTTAGAAATTGAGCTTGATGCTGACCGGAGCGATCTGAGACGTGATCTGAACAAAGGATGTTTTAGGGCCTCGAACAATTGACGCCATGCCCGGGCATGGAAAGAAAGAAAGACAAAGAGTTGTAAGGGTTACTTATCTTTATTTACGCTTCTGGTGACACAAAGCGCACTAACTTGTGTGTCTACATGCAGCTGGGCGTGCTGCCGTGTTGGCGCATTGCTTCCTGTTTCAACAACATCTTTGCATATGAAGGCACATTTGGCAAAAATTAACCCCCCCGCCGGATGGCTTTAGCCAACGCAGTCAATGGCTTTAGCCAAGAACGACCCTAAAAAACCAATGCGCCAAAGGGCGGCCGCTTGTTGTTCGTCCGAGACACCGAGAACGAGATCCGACCCCAAATACATCGCCCGACGGGCGCCAGATTGTGGGCGCGGAGTTGCTTGTCAAACCGACAAAGGCGCGCAGGACGAAGAGAGGAGGCGCGCCGGCATGTCGACCATGAAAACCATCCGCGCCAAACCTCCGCCAGGCTCTTCGGAGGCTTTTACCGGGAAAGGGAACGGACCGCACAGCGCATGTCGCCTGTTGGCGACCCCAATGCCGGCGGGGGGAAAAACTCCAAACAAAATCGGAGCAGCGCGGGCGCAGCGTGCGTGGCGCCACACGCACGGCGCAACGCCTGCGGCGGGGGGTCGCGGCGTTTTTCCTTTTTGATGTCACGATCACGCGCCGGCAAGCCTCCGGACAATGAAAACTAACACCGCAAACGCCGGCGCACAGCAGGGGGCCAGCAAGCACAAAAGGACGCCGCCACCCCTGTAGCAACTCTCCGCCAACCAGCGCGCGACCACCGACCGATGCCACCTAAGAGTGAGTATCCCATCAGAAGGCCGCCCGACCTGACGCTCGCGGCAAGAACCTCGCGGCTTTTTCAAAACAAAAACCCCGGCGCGCTTTACCAACCCCCGCGCACCAGCGGCGAAGGGCTGACATTGCCGGGGGCGCAGCGGGAATTCCACTGGCCGGCGACGGGGTTGATTGGCCGGGCCTGCTGGGCACCCATGCTTTTTCCGCGCCCGTCCTTCTATCCCCAGGGCCAGGGCCGGGCGACCAGCACGCCCGGCGGAGAGCGCCGGCCGCAGATAGAACGAAACCTGCCAACCGCAAACCCACCGGTTGCGGGCGCGGGCCAATCAATGGGCTATGCCCGGGCGCAGCTCACTGCGGGCAATGCACACAAATGCCCGGCGTCGGCCCGACGCGTTCCACCACGGCCGCCCCCTCCTCCCAGGGAACCAGGTGGGCCGCCCGAAGCACTTACCCCGCAAGCGCAGCGCGGGAAATCGGAACGCGCCAAGCTGGCCGACAGAAGCTGGCGCGCGCCCCAATTATGCCAGCGAGGGAAGCGAGGCAGGCGGGGCCCCGGCCGGCCCCACGCGTGAGGCTTTGGCCATGCTTGCAATCCAAATAACGAGAACCAACGCAGGCGGCGCGCCGGCCGATAGACTTTCTTCCCAAGCAACGAACCGAGGGCCGCGGCGGCCGAATCAAGCGCAGGTCGCCCGGGTAATACCTATGCTTGCGCCCTTCCACACCATGCAGCCCCCCTGGCCCAAAGCGAGCCTACCCAGTCCGCCGCAAGGGTGGTAGAAAGGCGGGCCGGCCTGCTGGCCAGCCACGCACGGGCGCGCTGCGGGGCGAGACGGGCAACACAGACTCGGGCCCGCCCGCGGATACGGCATTCCCCTGCAAAGACCTGTTTCTTGGCGGGCGCCCGGGAAGGGCCGGCGCCCAAAATTTGCGGTGGGCCGTCAATCCAACCTCCTACCCTCCCGCCAAGAAACAAAAGTCGCGGCCGGGCGGGGGTCAACCCGCCGGCGGGGGATCCTGCGTGCCGTTGGAGGGGGGGGGGGGGCAGGCATACCCAACCCTGGGAAGGAAAGCCGCACGCAGTTCGGAGGGCCGGCCGGGCCGCACGGGCCGGCGCGGAGGCGAGGCGGCGGGTTGGCGCATTGCTTCCTGTTTCAACAACATCTTTGCAGGGGCATTCGCAGGGGCATAGCTTCTAACATCATGATGAGAATCAACTATACAGAAGCACTACTAACGATAGTGCCAAAGGTCGAGCACTAAACTTTTTTGCAGTTGCACTGCAAAAAAGATGACGCTGAAGGCAGCGACTGCAGAAAAGTGTTGCTCGACTGCAGAAAAGATGGAACGGACTGCAGGAAAGTGCTGTTTTCAAAGAGTAACGGATAACGGATTGAAGAAAGAGTAACGCCGGCTAACGGATTTAGTACCAAAGAGTAACGGGGGCTAACGGCCTACCCACCACGCCGACGCCCCCAACATTATACTCTCCCTTTCCCATCTTTTTTGCAGTGGTAGCGGAGCCAATCTTTTTTGCAGCGGGGGCCAATCTTTTTTGCAGTGGGGGCAATCTTTTTGCAGTGGAGGCCATCTTTTTTGCAGTGAGTGCCATCTTTTTTGCAGTCAGTGCCATCTTTTCTGCAGTCGAGGCCATCTGTTTGGCAGTGGAAGCTGCCTGCTCTGCAATACAGAGCCACCGCCCCCGCCTTCTGCGAAGCCGCAGGCGGGCCTGCCATGTGCCCCCCTGCAGTCACGTCTTGATGCAAGACCGCCTGCAATCGCCTCGTGCCGAAGGACCGGCTGCACCAGTGCCGCCTCGAAGAAGGCCTGCAACAATGAATCCCACCCGCAGGTAGGCCAACGATGGCCCTACCATAGCCGCCCCCTCTTGAAGAAGCCGAGATGCTCCATCTTGGGCTTCTTTCCTCTCGAAGCGGGGGCGAGCGAAGCCCTCCTTAAAAAAGGCGGGATGCCTACCTGGAAAAGGGAGGGTCCCTCAATGAATCCGTCCTGGAGAACCCTGGAGATGGGAGGAGCTCCCGCCCTCCTTGACAGAAGGGTGGACCCGTTCCCCCTCCCTTGGCGGACGCACTCGCGCCCCCTCGTTGAAGAAGGGGCGACGTCTACTCCTGGGACCTTCTTTAAGAAACACCCGCCCAACTACCATCGCGCGCCTTTCACTGGGCTTCCTCGCTGATAGCCCGAAGCACCTGGAAGAGAGGACACGCACAGGAGGGCTTTGGGTCTCTAGTACGAGCCCCAACACGGGCGAAATCTGGAAGGGCGGAACACGGCCGAAGACCTTGCCTGTCTGTTGCTGGAGAAGCTTTGAAAAGCGATGAGGCTACAGTTTGGCTCCTTGTTTCATGGTGTCTAAGGGCTCTTATCAGCTACTGTAGGGGCGCAGCAGGAAAAACTCTCACACCGTAGTCGGACGTGCGATTTAGATTTCGCATGGGAACAAGGCGAGACGTTTCACAGAAGTTTCGGCATAAACAATGTTACTTCAGCAGCCGACCTGAACTATCAAAGCGGTATTTCAAAAAATACAAGAAACGTCACGGCACGTCTTCAATGCGTAACGGCCCTGCCGGCACTTGTGGGCAGTTTTACTGTTTCTGGCAGCTTCTAACATCATGATGACAATAAACTAACAAAGTACTACTAACGATAGTAGCACAGAAAGAAAGGACCCGGCGAACACGAGAAGCATGGTGGTAATGGTCTTAGACAAACCGCATCATTTTCATTCCTAAATTCCATGAGTAGCTAGCATGATGAAAAATTTGCTTTCCTATCTTTATTGCTGTTGCCTCTCCCTCTTCCTTGCTTACCAATTTGATCATGGCTCAATGAAAATCTTGGTTTCCGTTTCTGTTTTTCTGTCTCTTCATCAAATGCGTTCTTTGCAGAGCGGGCAGAACGGCAACGACGATGGATTTGATGTCCCGTGATCATGGTGCCCCCCTCCACGTTATCCTGGGCAAAAGTATCGCATTCGTATTGTAATCATGCAAACTTTTTTCTTAAGGCAAATCCGCATTACAAATTTTATTTCTCATGCTGAGGAAATTTGTAATGCATTTATACGAGTACGATACTTTTGCAGTTCATACACGTCCACCCTCGCGACCTTCACTGCACTTCATCTTTTGCAGCACCCAGTCCTGGATGCACTCCGCGTGGAAGGCGTGCTTTCCGTTACCGCAGGGCAAGGTAGTCACCCGATCGCCCCTGCACATGGGCTCCAGGCAGATGGTGCATTCTTGCGTGGTATCAAGTGCAAAAGTGTCTGGGTCTGGAAGAGTGTAGACTTGTCATGCAGATTTTATGAGGTCTGGAATGCGGGACTTAGCATGACAGACTCTGCGAGGTCTCTGCCATGCCTATTCTGCATGAGAAACTGCGTTCCAACTTGATGGTCAAAAGTGGACAGCTTTTGGCACTCACGCAACACAGATTTTGGCACGCTTCAGATTTACCATGACAAGTTGCAATCTTCCAGACCCAGACACTTCTGCATTTGATACGTGGTGTACAGCACGCGCGCCTTGGTCCAGGACTGCAGCTTGCGGATATCAAATGCAAAAGTGTCTGGGTATGTGTGATGCTGTCTTATTTGGAATTGAATTGAATTCGAATTGAAGTGAAGTAGCGACGCCCCCTGTCGTGCCTCGGTAGCCGATTGCTCTACCAACCGGAGGTGATAATTTACATGCTTTACGTGGAAGGTAAAAAAAAACTCTACTGCATGACCAGCAAGAGGAGTGCAGTTGGTGCTACGCGGAGTGGGCGTTTCTCATGCGGAATACGCATCAGAAGGCCCTTGAAAAATCTGTGATGCTAGGTCGTGCATTACAGGCCTCATGGGCTATGAAAAATATGCATGACAAACGTAGCAAAAATCTTCCAGACCCAGACATTTTTGCACTTGATAGCGGAGCGTCGACGTCAAAACGCTCGTCGCGCCGCTGGTGCTGCTGGTCGCCGCGGGGAAACGACCGAGACCACCTGGCGCTCCATATTGAGAGGAGAAATCCCCTCTCCCCATATAAAAACGAGACTTCCGATGCTGGCCTTGTGTACACAGAGCCGCGCTGTCTTGCTGGAGAGCACTGCAGCCCCATGCCAAGTGTGACGAGTAGAGAGGTTTTGGCCTAGGCACTTAGCACGAAAAACGTCAGCACTGTATGCCCCACAGCATGACAAACCGCCTGCACAATGCGGCGGAACCTGCGGAGTTGCCTTCTCGCAAGACAGACACGATTTGTGACCACAAATCAGCATCATAAATTTCCAAAAATATTAAATCTTTTCGGTATGGGGAGGGGGGATTTTTCATTTTGATACTCCATGGCGTTGCAGCTGCTGTGGTGCGGTTGCCGGGCGTGCCTCCTCCAGGTTGCCGTTGGAATTCAGCTGCTGCAACAGAGCGTCCGTCCGCGACGACGAAGATGCTGAAGATGCAGCAGCTCTTGGGATTGTTGTACCTGTTGTTGAGCTGCCCGGGCCGCGGGAAGCTCCGTCCCAGCTGGTGTTGTTCCCCTGCAGCAGGGACATGATGGTCCGCGGTTGCCGCAATCGACTACTCGCTGTCCTCGTCCCAGAAGCCCGGGGCGCCGCGGCGGAAAGAGGACGACCACGAGGACCCTCGGTATTGCTAATCAATGTGGAAGCCGCCGCTCCTCGACGGGTCGTGTCGTGGTTGTTCCCGTGTCGCGCTGACAGAAAGTTATCATCTTGAAGAACATCAACCATATGCAGTGCAAAAATTTGTGAATTCCAGATAGACGCTGACGCTCATGCACATCGCATACGTATACTGAAAAATGTTAACTACGAAAAATGTAGTTGTATGTTGACACGCCTGCTTTTCCCAACACGACTATGTGATCTACAAGGGAAGTCATACAGACGCCAGAAGGTCCCCGAGAAGCAGAAGGCTGAAGTTGAGGCATCCTCCATGCGCAACATGCCATCTTCATCGTTGTCAACGTGCGAAGCTAGATGTGATGTGCAGCCGCCGTCCATTCACAAAAGTACATCTATCACGTATTTTTCACATTCAATAACGTTCGAAGTTGAAACTGAAGAGATCGTCCACCGCTCGCGGCTCCTCTGCCGCCAAAATCCTAGTGTTGGAGGAGCGAAGATTGGTTTCATCCGACCCTGGCCGTGAGTCCTCTGACGAGGCAGGACAAAGTTGTTGCGAATGCAGGTGATACGGATCATCTTCACGTTGTGCTTGTTCCACATCTGTTCCACTTGAGCGTCTGTTTAAGATCATTACCTGCTCGCTGTCACCGACCTGCTCCACCCGTTCGCCTCGTCGTGCCACGACGCGTTGTTCTACTTCCGTACTACGTTCTCCCTCCTCGTCTTCCCCGCGGCCAGCAGCTCCAGAGTGTTTATTTGATGTTCCGCCTCGCCCCTCAGCCCGTGCCAGCCAATCTTCGTGTCGCGCGGCGAACGCGGTGCTTGTGCTGGTGGAAGACGTCCTCGGGGGATGTGGTAAGAAGTCGACGTCCTCATCCAAGGCATGAGTGGAAGGATGTTGCTCGTGGTCAACATCTCGTCCAGCCGCACCTGCGTCGCCTTTATTTGCATCTACTTCCGGAACGACGTCGAACACCAGTTGCCGCAGGATCTCCGCTATGCATCGTAAAAGTATAATCGTGGTAGCAGAAATCGAAATGGAAATCGCATGATCTACAAATTTTCTCAGGAAGATGCAAAACGGAGCAAATCTGTATGCTTCATGCTAGAACAGATAGAAAATGAGACTTCTTGTTCTCACGCATGACCGCAATAATTACGACGGGTGCGAATATACTTTTGCAATGAATATCCGCGGAGGTGCGCGAGGCGTCGAGCTCCTCTCGTTGTGCAGCTCCTACTTCAAGTGCAGGAGCTGGCTGCAACCTGCTGCTCCTGGTGGTCAACATCTCATTTGCTTTACCTTTGTCCCAACTTTTGGTATAATTGCACGAGTCCGTGTTATTTCCATCTTCACCTCCACGGACTTGCTGCACCACTTCTCCTTCGGCTACCACTTCCTGGTCCGCCCGCATCTTCTGCTTGTTCCCACCGCTTGTAGTTCTGCGCAAAGATGAACAAAAAGTAGTCCCTGCCCTCCCTGCTGCCTCGCCACCGGCGCCGGCTTCGTCGTTCCTGTTTTCCTCGCGCAGCAGCTCCGGGTCAAATCCACGCTGGTCCCCCATGATCGCCTCTCTTTGCTGTTGATCCAGCAGTCGGAGTCGTGGTCCTGGCGAATGAAAATTCCCCGTGCAAGGTCGTGAACAAGCTGCACCAGGTGCAGGAGCCCATGGTTCCGCAGCTTCTTGTTCGGGCTCGGTCGCACCAGCATCGACGGCGCAGCCTTTTTGGTCCTCTGCTCCATGTAGTTCTACTGCTCCTCGTGGTCCCGTCTTCGAACAACTACGGCCTTGCTGTTTCTTCATCCGGCGCTGTTGCTGTAACATTTCCAGCTGCAGTATCCAGGAAAAAACAACCATCCCCATCCATTTTTTGCATGACAAATAGTGGACTTTCTTTATGCATGCTGTGCATGACAAATTGGATGGGTATGGGTGTTTTTTCCTGGATATGCAGGTCAATTTCCGTTCGTTCTCTTTCAATCTCCGAAACGATACGAAGTTTACTACTCCTTGACGACGCTGATGCGACCACGGCGTCGGAAGGTGCTGCTTTCGTGGTGGTGACTAGGGTCTCGAAATCTTCACGAGTCCTCGGAGCTGCAGCCACCGGGTCGTGCACGAGGACCAGTTCCGAGAGTCTTGGGGCTTGTTCTGTCGGAGAGGCAGACACTTCTCCTTCACCCCCAGGGAAGAGGAATCTTCCGCACGGTCCGTGCTGATGGTTCTTCAGCATATGAAAGTCATTGCTTTTGTTCCACCTCCTCCCATGTTGATCTTCTAGTACCTCTAGCTTGTCCACCATCTCTACCGCGCTAGAAGGGTCGCCGCACCATGGATCATTCAGCATGTCGGTTTCTTCACCATCGCGGGAAGCGCGGTGAGCCACAGTTTCATATTCCTTCAAAATCTTCTGCACGCGGGTACCATGCGGCGTAGTGTCGCCCCCTCCGAGGTACTTGTTGTTCTGCACATCAGATCTTTCTGGACCAGGAAGGTTTGTTTCTGCTACAGAAAGTGTTCTTCTCGGGGCCGCGCCGGCGCCGCTTCTAGTAGTTCTTGTACTACTTCGTGTTATTATATCTTCTGAGGACCACGGCGCCCCGGTTTTAGATGGTGTTCCGCGATTTTTTCGCAGGTCGTCGTCGTGGCTATTCTTGTTGCCGTTGTTTTGGTTTTCTTGCATGGAAATGCTTTGTAGTTCCTTGATGTGGCCTGTGGACAATCTTTCGTCCCTGTTCAACGCTTTCCTCAGCCTCTTTTTTTCTGCCGCCGCCACGAGCCGTTCCCGCTTTGCATCCCAGTCGTCGGCCATCTTATGCATTGCAAAAGTTCAACTTCAAATATATCGGAATCGTACTACGTGTACGTACCAGTGGAAATTGCATGTTGGCAACCTATGTATTTCATCAAGTGGAAAACTTCATACAGATTTGCACTTGTCATGCGGATTGCTCTGTTAACATGTGTGACTAGCGCGATTATTTAGACGAGTACTTTTGCAGAAGATAGATCTCCGCCAATGACAGCTGCATCCGCTTTCGCATCTGGTTCTCCTCGGGATTGGCTAGAATCTCTTTCGCAGATAGGTGCTGCGCTGTTGCCGCGGAGTCTTCGTTTTGTGAAGATGAAGTAAGGGTGTAACGATCGTTCTGCCGCATCTTTATTCCTACGTTTCGTTTTCTCCTGCTAGTATTACGGTGCTGTCCTTGCGTAGCTCTTGCTATGGCCGCTCCTGTGTGTGTCGTTGGCCTACAGAGGCTTTGTGCTTCTGCTCGCCAGGTTCCGTGTGAGAGAACAGCGCATCTTGGCGACGTATCGCTTCCGCTCTCTTCATGTTGGGCAGCACCAAGAGCGCCGGTGTCGTCACTATCATCAAGAGCGGCCCAGAGGTCGCCTTCGTTCTTATTTTGCAAATCGGGGCAAAGATGATCAGCCACTACGTTCTTTTTATGACCTGCGCAGGTGTTTTACAATGCCAACCGTTCTACTTACAACAGGAGTCGAAATCTACTGCGACGCGCATCAAGAAGGACACGATCTGGCGTAGGGCTAGGCCTACTCTCACTGAATTGCGCATAACAAGTAGTCCCGGAGCTGCCCGAAGCCCCCGTGACATCCGGCGAGATTTGTAGTATTGCGATAAGCTTGCGCAAGACTCTGCATGTTCCCCATGCTGCTCATGCACGACAAAGTCCACGCCTGTTTGTGGTAAAAACTACAGCTGAGCTTGTAAGAACACCTGAGTGAGTAGCCATATTCCTGATCCTGGTCTTCTGCGTCCCAGCTGGTCCTCGGCAAGTTACTTGGAGATGCTGCTGACCACAAACTACAGCCACGGTCCTCTGCCCGCGTTGCAGCACCCTTTTTGTGCTGGCTACTTTGTTGCGCGCTATCACGATGAGCGTCGGTTCTCATACCTTCAGGCGTCTTTGTTTTCGGAAAACTACTCCGCGTCGTCTTCGTGGCAGCCAGAGAGCGGCGGTGTGCCACAGACAAAGAAAAAGCGCCTGGAGAAGTGGACCTTTTGTCTTCAGTTCTTTCAGTGACATAATTATATCGACCGTCTGAAAAAAATGACGATGGGGTCGTGCTGGTCGTAGCAGCTCCAGTAGGTGGAAGCGGCAAAACTGGCGGGCGCGGACTGGCAAGGGCAGCCGCGGTCGGGACCGAAGTGAAAGTTGTAGTTGTGCTACTAGAACTGGGTCCACCAGCACTTCCACCTCCTCGCGCGGCACCCAGGGTGCGTTTTGCGGCCTTGATGCTGGCCAGTTCCTCTGCCCAGTCGATTGCGGGTGTCGTGCTGGTGGTCGATGACATTTTCTATCAAACGGAAAAATCCCCCCTCCCCATATCGAAATGGAAATCTGTGATGCAGGATTTGAGGTACCAAATCGACTTGTCATGCTAGAAGGCCAAGAGCCGCAGTCGTGGTCTCGTTTGCAGGCAATTTGTCATGCTGTTTCCCACTCTCAGCTGCCTCCTATCATGCTGAAGATGCAAGGCTCCCCCACGCCACCCAGCACTACAGTCCGCATCTTTTCCCGTGTAGCATAACAAAGCTGATTTGTGACAACAAATCTGCATCACAGATTTCCGCTTTGATATGGGGAGGGGGGATTTTTCGTTTTGATATTTTCGTGGGTGGCCGCATAGAAGTTGTACTTTTGGTTTTGATATTATGGCGTTCTCAAACGTTACATTCTCAACTGTTACATGATTTGTCATGCAAAATGACCATGAGCCGCAAGCCGATCAAGCTGCTTCGCATGACAAATTATCGAAGGGCTAAACAGCATCTGAATCCGTGCCAAATTTGTGATGCAAGACTTGCAAGCTTTCCCCTTTCCCTGTTGCTGTTTTTGCATGACAAATTCATGTAACAGTTGAGAATGTAACAGTTGAGAACGCCATATTTCGTTGCGTTCCTTCCGAGTGTTATCCAGAGCACACACCCAAGCGGCCCGTTGGACCGCGCCTATTGGGGCTGGGTCAAGCAGGCCGCGCCCAGCTTCCGTAGCGGGGAGCGGCCCACTCCACCACCACCTGGCCCCCAGGGCAAGACCCCCCAGAACCCCACCACCGGTGGTTGAATGGGGGGAACAGCGCCAGCCCCAGCCCCACTTGCCCCCAAGGGGAAGACAGAAAGCAGACTGAACACAGCCTGCGAAGCAAGCGCAGCTGCAACCCAAACTCGCAACCACGGGCACGCAGACCACGTTATTTCCCTGCCCCCGGGTAACCGGGTCTAGAATGAGCGCACGCAGCGCAGAAGTTGCCGGAAAATGCTTGAAGCGGTAGCAGCTCCAAGTCAACCAGGATCAGTGGCTGTTACATCCCGAAAAAGCGAGGCACTTCCCCAGAAGGGATCCACCCTACTCCCACTTAGGGTCCTGCTGACTAACAAACTCCAAAAAAACCCGCGCGAAAGGGTCTACGCCCTGGACCGGATGAAACAGATGCCCTGGACCGGGAGGTCCGGGCTCCGGGAGGAGGAGGTCTGGGCTCCGGGAGGAGGACGTCCGGGCAGCGGGAGGAGGGGGCCCGGACTGCGGGGGGAGGAGGCTCGGGCGCCAGGAGGAGGAGGCCCGGGCGCCGGGAGGAGAAGGCTCGGGGTCCGGGAGGAGGAGGTCCGGGCTCCGGGAGAAAAAAAAAAAGAGAAGCCGCACATAGCAGCAAATAGCTACGTCCTAAGTTTTTTGTGAGAAAAAGACAATTTCATGCAAGCGCCTCCCCTTCACTGGGGAGGTGCTTGTATTCTGCTTTTATTCTGCAAAACTTTACCTGCTTTTTTTTTTTCGACAACTCTAGCAAAACCAGACTGAAACGCTACTGCAGGTATGTCACGCTACGAAAACAAACGCGGCGCATGTGTCATAGTATCTAGCTCTATTCCCTACCGAATTACAAACAACTACGACTTGGAACCGAGCTACTTACTTTTGTACGACCCACGGATCTTCTACTTGAACGACCCACGGATCTTCTTGAACTTGTGATGCGGATTCCACAACATGCGGATTCCTGCAATTGCAAATCTGCATGACAACTCTGGGGTGGGGATGTTTTTACTCAGGATAGGTGGCCGCATAGAAGTTGTACTTTTGGTTTTGATATTATGGCGTTCTCAAACGTTACATTCTCAACTGTTACATGATTTGTCATGCAAAATGACCATGAGCCGCAAGCCGATCAAGCTGCTTCGCATGACAAATTATCGAAGGGCTAAACAGCATCTGAATCCGTGCCAAATTTGTGATGCAAGACTTGCAAGCTTTCCCCTTTCCCTGTTGCTGTTTTTGCATGACAAATTCATGTAACAGTTGAGAATGTAACAGTTGAGAACGCCATATTTCGTTGCGTTCCTTCCGAGTGTTATCCAGAGCACACACCCAAGCGGCCCGTTGGACCGCGCCTATTGGGGCTGGGTCAAGCAGGCCGCGCCCAGCTTCCGTAGCGGGGAGCGGCCCACTCCACCACCACCTGGCCCCCAGGGCAAGACCCCCCAGAACCCCACCACCGGTGGTTGAATGGGGGGAACAGCGCCAGCCCCAGCCCCACTTGCCCCCAAGGGGAAGACAGAAAGCAGACTGAACACAGCCTGCGAAGCAAGCGCAGCTGCAACCCAAACTCGCAACCACGGGCACGCAGACCACGTTATTTCCCTGCCCCCGGGTAACCGGGTCTAGAATGAGCGCACGCAGCGCAGAAGTTGCCGGAAAATGCTTGAAGCGGTAGCAGCTCCAAGTCAACCAGGATCAGTGGCTGTTACATCCCGAAAAAGCGAGGCACTTCCCCAGAAGGGATCCACCCTACTCCCACTTAGGGTCCTGCTGACTAACAAACTCCAAAAAAACCCGCGCGAAAGGGTCTACGCCCTGGACCGGATGAAACAGATGCCCTGGACCGGGAGGTCCGGGCTCCGGGAGGAGGAGGTCTGGGCTCCGGGAGGAGGACGTCCGGGCAGCGGGAGGAGGGGGCCCGGACTGCGGGGGGAGGAGGCTCGGGCGCCAGGAGGAGGAGGCCCGGGCGCCGGGAGGAGAAGGCTCGGGGTCCGGGAGGAGGAGGTCCGGGCTCCGGGAGAAAAAAAAAAAGAGAAGCCGCACATAGCAGCAAATAGCTACGTCCTAAGTTTTTTGTGAGAAAAAGACAATTTCATGCAAGCGCCTCCCCTTCACTGGGGAGGTGCTTGTATTCTGCTTTTATTCTGCAAAACTTTACCTGCTTTTTTTTTTTCGACAACTCTAGCAAAACCAGACTGAAACGCTACTGCAGGTATGTCACGCTACGAAAACAAACGCGGCGCATGTGTCATAGTATCTAGCTCTATTCCCTACCGAATTACAAACAACTACGACTTGGAACCGAGCTACTTACTTTTGTACGACCCACGGATCTTCTTCTTGAACGACCCACGGATCTTCTTGAACTTGTGATGCGGATTCCACAACATGCGGATTCCTGCAATTGCAAATCTGCATGACAACTCTGGGGTGGGGATGTTTTTACTCAGGATAGGTGGCCGCATAGAAGTTGTACTTTTGGTTTTGATATTTTTCACGCGGGCGGGGCCATCGGTGGACTCGTCATCTATATCACAAGAAAAATTGTTAACGTTAACGGAATTTGTGATGCAGTGACGCATCAGAAAAGGTGCGCAAATTTGTATTGCGTAGCATGCATGGAAGGCAAAATTTGTAATGCCTGACTGCCATCTGCGGAAAACCGTTAACGTTAACACTTTTTTGCTTGATAATCTAGGCCACGACTCGATGGAGGTCGCGCTTGCGATAATACTCTTGCCCCCTCGTCGCCATGTTCCTTGCCACCAGAACAAGGTGCAGCATCATCCAGCACAACAGGCGGAACAAGAACTTTGCTGCCTTCATTTTTGCAAGCGCTGTGGCTTTGTTCTGTGTAGTCTGGGCGATCATGTTCTTGCTTGTCATTTCCCTCCCGTGGTCCCGCCGACGCGGCTCCGGATGCGATCCCGCTTCGATTAAAGTTGGTCCTTATTTGGTGCCGCTGCCACGCAGAGCCTTGACCTCTGGACCCCGCGAACTCAGCGACGCAAGGAGATGCCGCGTCAGCGTGGCCAGGTGGAGTAGTATCCGAATCTTGTTGTAGTTCAGCGAGTTCTTTATTCTTATTGGTGTTCGTGGCACAACATGCTGGCGGTTCAGTTTTGCTACTGCCGTGAAGCAAGTCGACGTCGAGAGGATGATCCACCAAATCATGTTGATCCGCTTTCGACGGCGTTGAAAGTACATTTCTAGCACTTCTTCCAGGAGCTTCTTCTCCGATTTGTCCGTTTCCTTCAGGAGCAACGCTTGCATTTCTCCCGCTTGCAGTTCGTCCTTTGTCGAGGTCCACCGTTCCATATGAGAGGACACAGCTCTGCTCCCGCTCCCCTCATTCAAATTTGAAACTACCCGCCACAGCAACATAAGCAAGGCCACGAGTGTGGCTTTCGCATGGGAAATAATCCACCCAAACTTACACAAATCGTACCCGTACTGTTTGAAGAAGAAAAACTCCTTTTAAAACTTGTCACGCAGACGGTGCTTCTAAAGTTGAGCTGGGCCCCTCAGATGAAAAAAGTCTTCCAAATTTCTTCCAATTTTTTGAGATTTTTTTTTAGAAAAAAAATTTGGAATTTTTCGCTTTACTTTGCATTGGGAAAAAGGTTGCGACCCACGTCGTCCGGTGAATTTCTAAGGCGGCAGCGCCTTCCCACCTCCTTTGTTGAGTCGAAGCTGCGTGGTATGCTGCGTCGACGCTATTCCAAGTGGTATGGTGGACTCGTGAAACACTCACCAAAGCAAGCAGCAACCTTTCCCCACAAAAAGTGCTCACTTTTTGGAAGCCAAAAGAGCTTCCAAAAAAGTCTCTCGCTTTTCCTCCTCGATTTCGCCTTCCGACCTTGCATACCCAAAAAAAAAGTCTAGAAAAAAGTCTCCTCTCGCACTTATATTCTCAATTATGGCGGGTCTTTTTCGGTTTCACCTTCCAGAAAATCGAGAGACTTTTTTTTTGAGGTAAAAATGGGAAAAGATGACTTTTTTGGAGTTCACTTTTGGCCATCAAAAGTGAGCACTTTTTGTGAGGATACGTCACCACTTCTAAAGGATACCGAAAAAGGTCGCTGGAAGTAGACAAGAAAGCAGCAAGTTGTAACGCGGACACGCTTTAAATAAAAGCAGTACTAGAACGAGAAGGGTCTAGTAGAATAGTGCAGCTTAGCTTCGCGGCTGGCCAGCGAACGTTGTCACCCGACGACGAGTGACCATCAAAATATTTTTTTTGAAAAAAAAATCAAAAAAAATCAAGAGAAAATCGGGACGGGGGTGCCATCTGAGGCCGCCCAGCTCAACTAAAGGCAGCATGTATGTGGGCGCTTTGGTTGTATCATTTTTCATGAGAAAAAAGAACAATGAGTGGGACGACTAGACCACACTGTGCACTGTGATAGTAGAACCTGCTGCTGCGTAGTTTGTCGCTGGAAGTCCCGTAGTTTGTCGCGCATGCCCGAAAAAAAATCCAGCGCGTCCTGCTTCTGCTTCTCCTTGCGCGCCTCGCGACCGCGCTTCTGCGCCACGGTGGGATGGTAGAAGGCTTGGGAGGTGGAACTACAGGAACCGGTGGAAGAATTATGCGTGTGAGGTAATATGATCTTCGCCGCTCCCTGGCCTTGTCGTGGTGTTGTACTTATTGGACAAGCAGTGGAGAACAGCTCATGGCCATGTTGGCGCGACGAGGACGCTGCTAGTTGTATCAACTGCAAATCTACTGTCCGGGTCTTCTGGAAAATGATACTTAATTCAACAATTCGCAAGATTTGCAAAAATTTTTGATCTTGTCTGACATAGCTGTGCTTCTGCTTGTGTGGTTTGTGACCGCGCAACATCCATCATGGTGCTGCATCTCTTGTTTCTATTGGAAAAGAGTGCAAGGACTTTTCATATGTGAAGAAAGAGAAACAAGAAAGCACAGAACTCCTCCTGAAAGACCTTGATGTCATGCCTGCCTGCGAACTGCAACTGCAATAGCAATCTGTTCATCATGATCATCATCATTCGCGAATCAGCATGACTATAACAACCTTCCAGACGACCCAGACACATTTGCAACGCATACCTCCTTATGAACTGCAAATGTATCGTACTCGTATAAATGCATTACTCAGGATGAGAATTAAAATTTGTCACGCTGATTTATTTTCAAAAAAAAAAATTTTGCAATGCAAGACTTGCATTTATACGAGTACGATTCTTTTTATGACACAAATAACTCAACCAAATCTAAAACACCATGGGGGATCAAAAAAAAAAATTGATAGTGCAAAACAGGCTAGATAATTGCATGTAAAATAGGCCACTTTTTAATGTACTAATTATAATTAACTAAGGTAGCTAGATAAGGTGTCTTTGCATGGTGAAAGGAGCCCGGAGATGGACTATGTTGGTCCACGGATTCGGGCGAATCCGTGGACCAACAGAGTCCATCTCCGGGCTCCTTTCACCATCCAAAAACACCTTATTTAGCTAGCTAGTTTAGTGGCCTGATAGTTAGATCAGATCAACTAGCTGCATTACAAATACAAGTAGATTACTGTGTTGATTTTTTTGCTTGATGGGGGATGGTAAATTGCCTTTGGTTGAGTTATTTGTGTCATACTTTTGCACAGGATACTCCTGCGCTGCTCGGGGACGGACCGTCCCACGCACGTTGTATGGCCTACTCAGAACAAGAACGATCTCTAATTGCATCAATTTGCCATGCAAAATGCGCCTGATCTGCTTTAGCCATATGGCGGAGTCTAGCGTGGCAAATGTCTAGTACCTACCAAACGACCTCCGTCTTGAAATCTGCACAAAGTTTGTCACATGCAGAGTTGCAGTAGGAGCACGAGCAAGGGGCAAGCACAAAGAAGCAGACTCGGCGTGTCTGGTCCTCGTGTGCCCTCGTTTGCAAGACATGACAAGTCTACCCAGCTCTACATAAGTACTTACTCACCTTGCTCTAGCTGAGCTTGTTCCAGCTGAGCAGGGCATAGGTCTGCGGGGCGGGTTCGTTGACAACTTCAACTTCCTCTCGACGTCGTGCTGGTCCTCTGGTGAGCAAACACGACCGGCTTCACCCCCGCTACCAGCAGTCTGCGAAGATGATGGAGGCTGCGCCTGCGAAGAGGCCGAGGCTAGTGCAAGATCTTGTTGCACAGTTGCTGCAGAACGACGTCGTGCTTGTGGTCCTGCACCATGCACCTCCTGTACTTCATTAATATCGGGGGCCCTCGCATTGGCGCCCGATGTCGTGCCCTTATTATTGAGAACCCAATCAAGGTACTCTACTCGATTCAGGTCCACTTCCGGCTCCGAGGAGGTTCTTGTTGAGCAATCGGCCCTTTTTTGCCTGCTAGTTGTGCTGGAATTCGTATTCGTTTTATTCCCGAGCATCAGCGATGCGCCCAGAGGACCGGAACGTGTACATTCTGAAGCGGCCGCCGAGTCCACCGCTCGATGATGATCAGAATCATGATCGTTTTCCGTGTAGGAACTTGAACTTGATCGGGGCTCGTCTTCACGCTGAGATACGACTGGAGATGTTCGTGGGATGAACAAGCCGCGTCCTGCTGCTTGCAGTAGCGGTACGCGAGGACCTGCTTGTTTATCCTTCGTGTCTCCAGTATTTCTTGTTCCTGGTGCGGCTTCGTCGTCTGCCGGTGCCGTGACGGTGCTGGCGACGTTGTTCCTGATTTCCTCCTCGCGCCTTTCACCTACATCGAGAGATACAGCGCATTCTTCTTGCCCGTGGTCAGGCTTGCGATCTTCTCGAGCAGGCGAAGCACTTGGACCACTTCTTGTCTGGATCGTCTCGGAAGATGTTGTTGTTGTAAGAGGGCCGGCATCTAATTCTACCGCTTTGTCCTCTACCGCATCTTTGGTGCTGTTGCTCGAGAGCAGATGATCCAGATGATTTTCTTCATCGTCCGCAGTAGGTCGTGACGGTCGTGTCCTTCCTGATGTCCCGCTTTTCGTTTTACTAGCGTGATGATCCAAATGCAGCTCGGCCGTCGACTTTGCTTGAGCGAAAGGAGACGACTTCGACAAGGTTGGAGTACTGGTCAGCTGCCTTGCAGAGACAATCAGATCCTCCAGTTGCTGATAGACTTATCCTCGAGGGAAACAAACGCCCCCACCATGCCCGATCTTACCAGAAGTCGTGATAATCATGCGTAAAAGTTGCGCCCCCCGAGTTCTTTTTATTCCCTCATCTTGCACATCCACACGAGCAGCAGGGGTGCACAGAGAGTTTCCAATTATACCAACTGTTCGTTCTACTTCTGCTTCTGGCGAGGGGGGGCGCTTTATTTCATTTGGATATCATGTCGAGGCTTCCTTTTCGTCCTTCCTCTTGAGGTTCGGGTTCCGGCTGCTGGGGCGCTGCATTGTCATTTCCACTAGTAGAGCACTTTTGGTGTTTGCTGACGTTTTTGCTTCCTTTATTTTTTATCCGTTGCGCCTGGGCGGTTGGTCGAGGCTGCACTTCTGTGGCTTCCGGGAGCAGCTCTTTGTCCTTCCGCTCGTCCGCCGAGGCAGCTGGCTGGCTCCTGCCGGGCGTCGTCTTCATGGGTAATATGCATTGTAACTTACTACGTCTGGGTCCTCTCGACGAGAATACGTGGAATAAAACTTGTGATGCGGAACTGTGGATGATAGATTAGGAGCGGACGAGGAGCGTTTTTGCAAGAATTTGGCATGACAAAGAAAGTTGCACTTTTGTTGTTGATTTCGGTCAAGCAATACAGATTTTCGAATAACAAGAACGGGTGGACTACAGGCAATTTAATTATTTCGATACGGCTCTCCTCAATTATTTTCCAGCCCTGGTCAGAAATCCTGACTTTTCATCTTGCTCTAGTCGGCGCCTTCGCCTCAGAACCCAGGCACAATCTAATCTTTACAATCGATAATGAGATGAATAGATGAAGAACCACGCTGTGGTGGCTCTTCGCGCTTTTGAAGACGGAGGAACACGTTCGCGGTTGCCATGCGGTTCTCCAGGTATCGAGGAAACAACACCCACCCCCATCCATTTTTTGCATGACAAATCCGGGATTTTATGCGTGTTTTGCATTACAAATTGGATGGGGATACGTGTTTCTTCCTGGATACCAGGTTGCGATTTAACAGCTTGTCGATTTTGTCCTCGGTAGAGGTAGTTCGGCTTGTTCTCCTTATGCGCTCAAACGCGTGCGCCGCATTCTTACAGCTGTCGTCTTTTACTACTTTTTCCGCAAACGAACTTGGTGCTGGTGGCCATGCCTTCATCGCGTCCTTGGCACTCATCTTTGTCGCTTCTATTTTTGGCACGCTTGTTGCCGTCTTCATGCCGCTCCGTGGCGAGGCTCCCACGACCTCCACGGGGACCGCCCGCGATGTTTCTCTTCGGGCTCTTTCATTTACAACAACATCCGGCTTTACTATTCCTCTTGTTCCAGCACCTCCATCTTCTTCACCTTGGGCTGTGACTTGGATACTGCTTGTGCTTTCAGAAGGCACCTCGAGAACATTTTTGACGGCTTCTACCGCTACAACTTCTGGCGTGCAGCTTCTGATATCGCCGACGACGTCCACAGCAGGATCGTCGTGCTTGTTCTTACTGCGAACTGAAATTATGTTGAAATCATGCTGACCGCGGTTGGCGTCTGTCGCGTCAGGATGTTGGACGAGTTGTGCTGGAGTAGTAGCATCGACGACGTCTTGAACTAGTAAAACTTGCTGCGCGGGTTCGTCGTCCTCCTCATCGTCCTCGTCGTACATTAACATTGCAAGCGCGGAGTCGTCGTCGTCGTCCCCTCGATACGTCCTGCGTTTGCGGACCACCTCGCCCACCTCCGTTGATGCTGGCTATGAGGGTGCACAAGCTGCCTTCCCCTCATTCGTTGTACTATGGCAGATATTAAACAGCAATACAAATACCAGCACACGTGGAGGAGCCTGTGCACCATGACAAATTCATGCGTCTAGTGTAGTAAGTACTGTTTGGGAACCTCCCGGAATCTGTCACGCAAACAGTGCGGCCACGACAAGGCAGCACTTGGACTTGGGACTTTGCATTACAAACAAGGCCCGAGCACGGGGACAGAGTCCCCGTGCGGCGACCTTCCGGCATTACATTTGTCTGCGCGGTGGCACTGGCCAGGCAGGTCGCCTGCAGCTAGGTATCTCGGTGCGCCTTGCATTCACTGACCCGCGACGGGCCTGCGGACGCGGCCCCCTTGCTTGCGCGCACTAGATTCATTAGCCTGCCGCGCGCAAAGATAAAAGAAAAGAAGAAACTAACTGGCGCGCGCCGGGCCGGGAGCCGGCCCCCAGGTCATGACGCGGCGACAGAGTCCCCGCACTGCCCTGGGGCTTTTCTCTGCCCCTTCCATCCTCGGCCGCGCGGTGTGGTGTCCGGGGAGTGTTCGTAGCTAGCCCCCTTGGCCGCACGTTCGTTGTCCGGGAACGAAGCGCCCAAAGCTGGCCCCTAGGCCATGACACGGGGACCGAGCAGTCCCCGCGCTGGCCTGGGGCTTTCGCCCCTAACTTGGCCGCACGGTGTCGCCGGGGAGCGCCTGCAGCTGGCCCCTAGGCCATGGCGCGGGGACCGAGTCCCCGCGCTGGCCTAGGGCTTTCGCCCCTTGGCAGCACGGCGTCCGGGAAGCGCTTA